ATTATACATTGTTTGCATGTATGACATTCTCAAATAATTAATAAGGGGGTGATTATTTTTAAATGTCAGTCATTTGGGACTAGAACTCACCCTGTTGACTGTTCTAATGTAAAATGCCCTTTTCCAATAAGAGCTTCAGAGGTCCTGCAATTTGCAGTTCCAGCCTCTAACACATCACTGCTCCTAGCTGTCTTTCTTACAAAGCCCAGAAAACAAAGAAACCCTGGGAAGCTCATGACCCTCTCCTTCCCTCTCGGTTTTTCTCTGCCATTCTTTTCCAGGAGCCCAAGAAGCTGATGTCCAAAGCCAAGGGAAAGCAGCCTCCCACTGGCACACTGGGACTTCAGGACTTTCTTCAGAGATCTAGCAATTCCTCCAAGGCCTTCTTATTCCCTACAAGACTGTGAGGTAACCAGTCCCAAGGCCAGAAGACCTGTGATCCCTCTACTCAGGAGGCTGAATCAGAGGCATGGCAAGTTCAAGGCTTATCTCAACTGCAGAGAGAATTTAAAGCTAGCCTGGACAACTTAATGAGATCCTGTCATGAAGTAAATGAAAGATGGCTGGGGATATAGCTCAGTGGCAGAGCTATAAGGCATAAGGACCTTGGTCCAATCCTTTCCATCACTAGAAGATAGAAAGGTATCTAAAACTCTCTATGTCTAAGCTGGCCTTGAACTCTTGGCAATCCTCCTGCCTCAACTTCCTGAGTCTTGGGATCACAGACTTATGCCACTACATCTGGCTCTTTAATTAATTTTTATTGGAATATAGAGCTCAGAGTTTGGAGGTGTCAGTCCACAGCTAGTAGACCCTGTTGTTTTCCCCAGTGGTACAGTGGGCACAGCCCAAGCCAGGCTCAGACCACCTCCATAGTCCACACAAAGCTAAGCCACAGCAGTCTCTTTGCTCCAATCCATTCCTAGGACTGGAGAACTTAGGAACCTATGCAGGGGCATGAACAAGACCCCAGTAACTCCTAAGGGACATAGGCAGTTTTTGTAGTTACCTAATATTTGTCTTTAGGGAGGTGACAATGTGGTAAGCTACAAATATACAATCCTATGCAGTGGCCAAGAGAGATCGACAATGACGCACATAAAACATAAATGAAAACTGTTGCTGGGTAGGGGCTTCTAATGGGACTGACACTAATGACAAACGCCTTCCCTTGTCCCTCCTCCTTCCCATTTCTTATCTAGACTCAGATGTGATAGTTGGAAGAATAGCATCCACCTATACCTATGAGGTCGCTTTGAGATGAACAGAACAGAATAATGGTAACTCAGATGTCTGGTTCATGAAGTGGCCAAAGCAGTCTTAAACTACCAATTACAGTAGGGGGGGGGGGGGGGGGGGGGGGGAAAAACCTATATTGTGGAAGCCACATGATTTATGCACCTTTATAACTAAGGCTTTATTACAAAGCCTTGCTGCTTCCAGCTTTATTGTTTTCTAATATATATATATATA